GCTTTGAAATGCAGTCAGAGTTCTTCTCGACGCTCCCAACACTGACCCAGTCTGGCGCTCGGTTCCTCGTATGTAGTTCTCCCCCGAGAGTCGTCTGAATAGCTGGGTAGAAATGAGGTCCGGAGGAATTTCTTCTGAACGATGGACGACGATTCCCATTGAGCCGTTCTCTCCATCGCGGGAACAACTCGGCGACTGTGTGAAAAACGCGCGGGGAGCGCGGAGAGGTTTGGGATCCACACAGGAGCTTTCGGAGAGGGGATGGGTTCGGAGCGCGGAGAAATTAAAACAGGAGAATGTGTGATAGGGGTGAGTTTGACGGTATTGAGTGCTCGTTGACAAGCGTGGAAATCCAATCGAGGCCATCGGAGCTCATTGGGAGTTCTCCGAAAGGGATTTCGTTCTGAGAATTCCCAGTGCGAGAAGTCGTGGGATCTGTTTCTCTGTTGCTGCTGCTGTCGCTGCCGCCGCCGTTTTCCGCCGTAATTTGTCCATTGACTTACGCGGCTGCCTTCCCGAATGCCAGACTTGCCACTTGTTACCCCTGACTTTCCGCGCCCACGCTCACCCCTCGCGCCTGGCGTCCGTTGAACCACCGTCTTTGGAATGGAGAATCCATTTAGATTCCATGTCGACTATCGGATTCCTCCGTTCGATTTACTTTGCCGAGCGAACAACGGCCCGAACTCCAAGCGAGCAACGTCGAGTCGGACGGCCAGCAAGTCGACCGGCCGGTCGGTCGGTCCGTCGGTGATGGAGCTTCTTTTCCCTTTGAGCCAAAACTTGATCATTCCCAAAACAAAATCGGAGTCTTCTTTTCTTCCATCCCCCGATCGGTTTTGGGTCCCGCAGTGGGATGCGGCGCTTTTTCAATGAAAGAGCTTCCTCGTATCAATCGCTATTTTTTTGGTGCGACGATAATGGTGGAAAATGAGAGAGATGACCGTGGACAGACAGGGAGGAAGAGACGGAATCCTGGCAAGACGCTGATTTCTCAGCGATCAATCGTGTAGTAGCCTCGAGATCTGATTTATCAATCCTCGGCCTTCGGATTTTCCCTCTACAGCGGGTACGCTCCCTATTATTCGGCATTATTTATCTGCCGAGATGATCCGCCGGACGGATCCGGAACAAATGATGGCTCTCACCAAGCTCCCGGGAACATATATATAGAGATCTCAGCGAGGCGGAGAAGTACAATACGAATAGGAACTAAAACGATCGAGGTCATCAACATGACGAGACTCGATGTGAAAGACGACGTACAAAGATAACAACTTAGAAAACGCAGAAGCTAAGCATCAAGCTTGCGTCGAGGACACGACGCGTAGTGGAACGAATAAACATCGCTTATCTAATCTGCAGAGCTATTAAGCCGACAAAGGGCCACATGTGTACGGAGGCATGTCGCGCAAGTAACAGCGGGTACAGCTTCTTATTCTCCTGCTTCCTGATCTTTGTAACAACGAGTCCTGAGCATGCGGCAGTTCTGCGCGTGTTCGCGCGAAATAAATTGCAAGCGAAAAGGGGAGCTCGCCGAAGTGTCGCTGAGCTCTCTACTACCATACATGTTCTCAAAAAGCTCTGTTAAATCTCTCGGACGCAGTCAGGCCCCACCGGGACTCCCGCACGCACTAAAACCTCCCCTAAATCTCCCGCAGTCAGAGAGGCTTCTTCGGCTCTCCGTCGCTGAAAGCTCCGCCGAACCGACCGTACACCTCGACCGCGACTCTCGCAGCCCGTGCCTATTGAGTTCTCGCGCGGCCCGATTATTCGGAATCAACGGCACACCTTTGGACCTTCTCAGAATTGACATCGGGGACGTTCTGGGAAATACTCATGAGCGCGGGACCATTTTCTTCAGTCCACAACGATTGTTCTTATAGAAATGATGACCGATAAGGGTGCTGTGTCTCTATATTACCTCGAGTTTCGTCTTCTTGTTATCGGAGAGCGCTGAGGCAGCTTCAGCTGAAAGGGCGAGGAAGACCTAGATATCTGAGCGAGCCCAGTGAGCTTGGTCGAACCCACTTGAACATTTTCCTGCTTTCGACATTCGTTATACTCACTCGGGTCTTGGCGCTCAAAGCCTGGATCGCTCCTCGGGCAATTTGTGTCACAGTGCCCCACTCACATTTCTTTCAGCCTCGCTCGGGTCCGCAGGCCTGCCTGCCTCCCTGCCAGTTGGAGCCTTTTCAGCAACGAGCGGAATTTCTCCCCGTCCGTCGTCCTGCCGAGAGAGCTACGATATGCCTGACTGCTCACCATTGCTGAAACTTCCCATCTTGCGTACTGTTCTGCTGTTCTCCCAAATGATATGGCGACCACTGGTTCCACTCGCGGGAATTCTACGATCTTTCCGGGTGATTTGCGCCCGGGGTTTCTCCAGAGAGACCGGAATGTTTCTCCCCGTGACAGGAGAGAATCCGAGATCGGTTGCATTCTCGTGAGTCGCCTGTCATCACTAGCCGCAACGCACAAGCTTTGCTCGAAGTCGAACCCCAGTCTAAACCTGGACGCAGAGCACAAGGGACGCTCAGCACGTTTCTAGAGACGGGTGGAATATCTATCGCATAGAAAAGAATCCCTACGGGGGCTCTGAGAACGCCCTGCAAGAATTAATGTTGACTGCATAACTTCGCCTCCAATCGGCCCGAACCGTCTGTTTTCGCACCGGCATCTTTACCACGAGCTCCGCCGGTTTTCGAGGAGTGACCAGCTCCGCTCTCCTTGCGATTGAAGTTCTCGTACCACCCGCCGCCTTCGGTTGTCTTCGCCGTCGTTCGAGTATGGACCCTTTGGCGCCGGATCCCGACGTATTGGCCGAGGTACGGACGCACCGCGAGCATGACGGTCGTCCGAATCAGCTGCGAAACGACTGTTGGACATTGGTGAACGGACCGGACCCTAGGCTCCATATATTGATCCTCTCCGCTGAGGGTCCATTTTCGGAGGGTGACTCGCTCTGCAATCGCCCCCTCAGAGCCACCTTGACCGCCTGAGGGGTTTTATGATTCGACATATTATGTCAGGCTCAATATATAGAGGCATGCGTTCCAATCGAGGATCGATTCTCAGTTCATGCGGAGGGCTGCTCACAGAATTCCTCCCGTCGAGCTCCTTTCCTGCAACTCTCGACAGAGGCAGACGCAACGATCCATGGAGGCTAATCGTATCGTTGCAATTAAAATCAGATCGGTCGAAGAGAACGAACCTGCTGAAGGTGCAATTAAACACGCTGACACCGCGGGAAATCCCTCGGAGTCGGCACGAGAGAAAGCCAATGCTGCGGAGGAGCGTGAGCTCGTTGGGCAGAACAGGATGATACCTCCCGTCATTAAAGTTCAACTTTCATCCGGGCGAGCACTGATGGCAGGAAGAGATACATTTTTGTCATATTTCTCCTGCCGGTCATGTGATGCGGTCCCTGACGAGCGTACACGTTTTGTCAGGAGCTCTCGCGTAATGTGACCCGTCGCTTAGTGAAGGACCGTCTCCTTGGGACGCCAGGCGTCTTGCTGACCGACAACAAAAGGGAACGGCTAGGGTTCCCGGCTGGCGCCAGTTTACCGGCCCTTGGCGGCGGCCTCGAGACCGAGCAGTTTCTGCTAAACATCCGACCTCAAAGGCCGACCGGTGCTCACCCGCTTCGAACGAATCCATCGCGCCCCTTGCGGAAAACATGGAGGCGGCGATCAACTGACGTCATGATACGAGAATCGGCCGCACTCGGAGTCAACTAGCGTGGTGATCGGGGTTTCGCTGATGGAGCTCGACCAAGCTCAAGTGGAGTCGAGGCGTGACACCGATGCGGATTCAAATATGCGAAAAGAACATCTATACGAAAATATAATACGATGAGTTTCGATATCATCGAGACAGCGAATCCTTCAGTAAGTCGTTCCTCTCCAGCATATCGACTGAGCTCGAAGTTTGCTTCATTGACCCCGCGACACGCGGATGATAATTCTACGAACTTTGCTCCAATCGAGAATGCAATGACTTCTTCTCGGACCACGACGAATGTTTCGTTCTGGTCTCCGCTCATCCTCTCCGGTCGCTGAGCTACGGAATGAGTAGTGTATGACAGGAACGAGCTTGGATACCGGCACAGCCTGTCCGACTAGGACATTACGTCCAGAGTGAGCTCTGTTTTCCTGTTTATGAAGAATACTGACTGCTGTCTGACAGAGATAGCGAGCATTCTCTGCTGATGATGTCTGGCGCTCTACGTCTGCTTCGAAAGGGTCCAGCGACGGCGCGACGAGTCCTGCAGCGACTCCATCTCGCCATCAAGTCAGACAGACGGACGGAGCAACTTGGTCCCTTGGGACTCCGCTCGAGCAGCAGATATGTCATTAGCCTTTCGCAGCATTGGATAGTCGCCTTGCGACTCCTATCTCGTCGCTGTACCGACAGCCACGAACTTCCTCCTGGCTGAAAGCATCCTGGGGATGGGGGGGGAAAAGATTTCTCTCAGTCTGAGCGGGTTCCCCAGAGTTGAGGAATCTCAGCCAACAAGTTTTCCGTCGAAATGGCTACGCGAGCTGATCCTCATTCTTCTGCCAGAGGGATAGAAAGCTCCGAATGAGTGATGATAAATCCTCCGCCGGAATCTAGAGGAGCTCCTCCTTGTTTCTCCAGAGAGAGGAGAAATTTTTCACTTCTAATTCAACATCTCAGGGAAATGCAACCTTCGGAAGCAGCTGCCTCGGTCTGTCGGCGAGGAGCAGAGCTCTCGGCCCAGCGGATCCGAAGAGCCCAGATGATCTCTCTCCGAGGGCTCTTACAATTATTATCTCCAACATGAGATGAAACATGTAGCTCGGGAGCTCGAAATTATCACTCGAAATCCTTCGGAATGATGCGATCGATCCCGCGCAGCTAGATCTCGAATGAGTGGCTCCCGAAGCTACACATGTATCTCGAGACAAATGCTTTATCTATCACTGAGGCAAACTGAATCGGAAGTGAAATGAAATGGAGCGAGACGACACGACTTCAGTAATTGATCTGTTTCTCTTTTATTACAAACGCTCCGTTTGCTTATTCTTCCGTTTTTACAAAATCGGCTACCGAGGGTATTCTGGGGAAGATGTTGAGGTGAATCATCCACGCCGGTGACTTGAAATAATTATTTACACTCTTCACGACTCGCGTCGGAACTCAGTTCCGGCCGCTAACGAGGGAGAATAGGAAACGGATAGGGTTGCTGACGTTTCGAATCATTCCGACAACAGTCACTCGCTCGCTTAGGCTGAATGATGGAGAGCCAATCGGAAAATGTCGTGTTCCAGGTAGAAAGAGTCACCGATAGGTTTCAAAACGAAAACTTGGTAAAACGAATGCGGGGGATCATCATCGGTCTGGAACGGAGAGAGGCCGTCAGTCAGACGAGATGGCAGGATGCCGTGCTCAGGAAATCGATATTCTCCAGGAATTAGCGAGTTGAAGATGTTTCACTCGCTGACATACCTTTAATTGCCCTAAAACTACAATCATTATGCCTCCATCGAACATTGGTTGGCAGTCGGTAGCAGTTATAACGTGACAGATTTTCTGAAACGTCAGCGCTTGGAACTTTTCCATGATTTTGGTTCGACCGAAGTGCTGCTCGCCTTCGAAAGTCATAAAGCTCCTGCCCTCCTGGAAAGAAAAAGCGTCTCCAGTTACGACCTGCGGGCAGTAGAGATCAGAGAAGACACCCCGAACCGACTTTGAATGAGAATCCCCTCCCGTGCTCGGAATTTCCAAGAATTCCTGTACAGCTGATGAGAGGGACCGAGAATACATTCCACGTGCAGAGAGAGACTTGCGGATCATAACCGAGCGATGGCGCCGATATGGAATGCTCTCGATTAAGAGCTCAAGTTGTCGCAGCCAACGCCGCCAGAGAGTGTCATCGGAAGGGATGGAACAGTCTGTCAGATTCGCGAAGCTTGACGCCGACTGGATGGAGTCTCAGCCAGGCTTAGCCGGCAGCAATCGCGAAAGCATCCCGATGACATGTATAGATGTGATTCTGGGAGGGAACGCCCGATGGAAATTGCTTCTCTCCGCCATAGAATGCACGAGCTTAGAGCTATCCATGTGCTGCTACATGGCAGGACTCCTGCTCTGCGATATCACGCCTTATCAGTGGAATCGTGTGGACGAGTCATGGTATTTTATGTCCGGCTAAACTTCTCGGTTCTTGATCAATCAGAGGTCCTGAAATATTCCGAATGGCGGCGGCGGCAGCCTCCAATAAGCGGCTTTCGACAGCGGCGGCAACCTTCCATGAGCGGCCTCGTCAAAACATGACTATGTTTGGCGAATCCTCCGAGGTACATTACCAGCTCCGCAGAGAATGATTCGCGATTGTGGTCATGGTCGGATTTCCTCCCAGGAGGGGAAACTTTCAGGGACTGAGCCCCGATCGGCTCGGAGTGTTCGCGAAGGTTCGAAGAGAGCGAGCCGGCGGACCAACGACTTACTTGGTAGAAGTTGGCGAGGTTAGCACGCTGGGCCGCATCGTCGAAGAAGGCGTAGTACTGCTGGATGAACGACTTGCCAATCGTATCATACTGCGGATTTATTCCCGTCATTTTGTGCGCCACGCGATGAGCTGATTTCCGAGACGATTGAGTTCTGATTCGTTCGCACAAGAATTCTAGCTCTAAGGGTAAACGCCGCCGCTACTACTGCTGCTTCTGTGCCTCCTGTTGTTGCGCGAGTTCGAAACGACTCAGAATTCAAGATGGCGGCCGGTAGCGACAGCGTAGCGGTCAACGGCGGCAAACTTTGAAAGGTGGGCCGTCGCGGTGCACCTATCGAACGTCGCTCGCGATCTGGACTGGGAAAGCAGGATATGCTTCTGAGCAATACTTCCCCGAACTGCACTCATCGTCGGGGGAGATTCCCGAGAATTCCTAGGATGCCCTGCGCGACAACAAGCCTTTGAATGAGACCTGGAATAAAGAGTTTCGAGTCGCCGGCACCCATACCGGCATACGTGCGTACACATATGTATACCGGTATCATAAGTTCGACGGATAACTGATTTCCCATCAGTCTTACGTAAGGCTGGGAGATTTCCATGGAATTCGGCCTTGAGAATTCACGGCTTGCTGCTGCTCGCACGATATACCATCGGAGAAAATGCTCGTCTCGTCTTGCAATATGTACTCTAAACGGTGGGCGGAACGAAATGTGACCACAGAGGAACGCAGAATTCTCAGTCCTGGGGTACAGAGCAACATGGGGAGAGGTGACTGCTCGATGAAGTTCTCATGTTCCGTGAGAAGCGGTGACTCGGTGCTCGCGAGCATCTTTTCTGTCCCAAGATCCGCTGCAGACGGATCTCATTCCCGGCCGATTGCGGTAGAGTCCGGCTGCTCTAGGATTTTTCGGCGTACATAGACGACCAGATCAACTCAGATATACCCGTGAGCCTATTATTCAGGGCCCGCCGGATCTGGAGAGCAAAAAGAGCGGGCTGAATCCATCACAAAGGAATCAATGTGAGGTGCTCGCGGGTCCCTTCTATTTAATCGACATGAGGGCTCCTTCATAGGAGAGCGAGAAAACCTTTTTCGATACGTCCTCTGAGCGCTCTTATAGCGACCGAACGATCGGAACAGCATCTGAGAAGACGGTGAGATCCACCATGAATATATTGTCACTGTCGGTATGGTCATCGGATGGAAAAATCCCGATCAATCGGTACCTTGCCTATAAGTACTTCCACTTTTCTCCTCATGTATGAGTCTCGCTGCCCTCGAATGCAGAGAGGGCGGGGGACCGATCTCCAGAGGTATAATCTTCCCCTCAACTAGCCTGTTTCTAACTCGGAGCATTTATCATTTCAGGTAAGCGGGCGAATCATAAGTTTTCAATCTGGACTGCGAAAATTCGCGAATGAGCTCCGCAAATAGACTTCTGCAGCAGTTTGAGAGTTTGTTTGAGAGTTTCTACAGCTCCTTCGAGGGTTCAATATACGAAATGAGAGACCAGATCCCAGGCTACTCCGCGAGCTCGTAGGATCGAGCGGCAGCCTGAGCGAGAATTCCGGAAGCTGATGGCGGAGCGGAAACGAGGGCTCGTAACAGGGATCATTGGTTCCGGAGGCGTCGAGTTTCATCCGTCGATTCGATGTTGCTCATTTTGTGGAAGGTCGTCGTATATCCGAATAGGAGCGAGGAGAGCTTGTGAGGGATTACTCGTGGGATAATATTCCCACATGTTTCTTCGATGGGTCCCGTTCGTGCATCGGGTCATTATTTTTCTCTTACGAGATCCCCAGCGGTGCGATTCGCATAAATGTATAGGAGTCGGAGTATGGATTGCCCAGAGGGTGAGTTTTTCTCTGTTCGCTGGTCCTCCCTGACAAGAGCGGTCCCAGCGATGCCGGCCCCTCCGGGAGAGACCCTCTCCTCGTCGTCCAGCCGCCGAAACAGAGATCATCAAAGAGCCTCAGCTCCGGGTGCCTTCCTGTCGCTTCCGACAATCGTGAGTGCAGAGCCCACCGTCGCTTGAATGGGATTCCGTTTCCCCGCTCGGGGATACGGGAAACTTCGAACTCTACGAGACCTGAGAGTTCTCATCGACTCCACGCAATCGGTACCAGTAAAGCGATGCATAGGACTCAGCTTTGTGATATGACGGTTCTACGCAACTCGTATCGGCGGAGCGATACGTAATATTAGCTCCGCGGAAAGATGGACGGCTGCTCACGTCGATAACTCCACGAAGAAACTCCGTCCTCGTTCTCGACCGATTTCATGGCCTCCTCGTGATCATTCAAGTTTTCACTCATTTGCCGAGCGCCCGTCTCATCTTCAACCTGTAGCATGAACGACGAGGCGAGTTGCTACCGAGAGGGAACGATTGCTTTTCCCCGACCCAGAAAGCCTGGCTGTACCGGCGACCTAAGCGTCGACGATAGAGGCACAAAAAAATGGAAAAATCCCTGGAGCCGTGCTCCAGCGACAGCTCACTCCGCGTCGGGCGAGTGGTGAGGAGGTTGACCGTGGAAATATGCTATCGGTCTCATTTATTCAGAGCGCACCCTTCCAGTCTACCTACGGAATGGATCTCGGAGAAAGGCTGCTAGAAAAATAACAGCGCGCTAACAAACAACGCGAAGAGGAGAAAAACGCGTCTTGGACTCAAGATCAGCTTAGGAAGAGGCGCTTCTTGAGAAACTTTAGAGATACGGATGTCACGTTCGAGCGCGGTAAGATCCAGCTACTCTCGAGACCGTACTCGAAACAAACCCGAATCATTGAGGCTGGCTCGTCCGCCGCTTAACAGTGCTGAGTGGTATCCGATTACGTCGGAACGGAAAAGATCCCTCCTTGGATGTCCGCAACAGCGTACTCGTAGAGCAGAAATAGCGTCGGTCGAGCGACGGCGCGAGCGTCCGTGGTCTTCATGGTGCTGTAGCCTTGTGAACACTCGGAGTTCGGAGGGAACTTGAATCATTGGCTTCAGGCCAAAGATGATCTCATTGTTGAAGTTTAGTGACAGAGTTTCGTCGGCGGGGAAGACGAAACGGATCAGTAGTGACAGCAAAAAGTTCCTGGAGACGTTTGATCGGACTTCCAGTGAGGTTAACGAGCGCCTGACTTGTTCAAGCGGAACGGATCTCGAGAGATCCGCGAGCTTCTGGGAGAATCCCATCAGGCCCAGCGAGGTGAGTCGACGTTTGTTCGTGAAGGACATAATTCCCTTGACCTCCCCCCCTCCCGAATCGGTCCCCGTGCTGCAGGCAGGAATAAGTCAAACTAGACGAATTCGATCCCACCGACCGGTTACCATGATTGTCTCTGAGAAGGATGAGGTCTGAGCGGAAAGCGATCGGGGGAAAGTCATCCGTGTAGAATCCGGGATATCAGCGCCGACATCATTAGGACGAACAGAAAGCGCGTTAGCCAGAAGGAGCTCTTGCTTGTCTGCTTACTCGCATGCCCCGAGCCGCACGTTTTAGACGATTTACTTCTTCGATACATACCTGAATGGAAAGCTTATAGAAAGCTTAAGAGCAAATTCTGTGGTTATTTTCTGCTTGAAATTCACGACAAAACCCTCGTCACAAGACCATTTGCATATTCCGTCAGGGAGGTTCCGCGTAAAAGCAAAACATCCTTCCCTTTGCTTACGAAACTCACGGCTGACCAGCCGGATTCGAATGGAATTGTGTCCGATCCAGATAAGAGAGAAGTCCCGATTGAGATAAGAGAAAAGTCCCGATGGAAACCGTTCTCTCGGCGACTTCCTTCCGAGTTCTTCGTAATTCTCGGTCCAGCGAGCTCCGTGGATAATCGCTTTTGCCGACGAAACATATTATCTTTCACGCGGTTGGATTATCCGGTCCAACAACCTCTCCCTCGCGTTGGCTCCGACAATCGGTCATGCTCCCCGATCTCGGGGATCCAGGAGTGTTTCAATTTTTATTTCCAATCCTTCAATAACTAGACAACACGTGGGAACGTTGTGTATTACACTTTGAGCTAGCCGGAGGAGTAGCCGAGCATCATGTCAGAAACTCAACGATTTTCCGAAATGTGTGTTGTATTCCCGTCGGGAAATTATAGTTATGCAGTGCCTGGCCATAAACGAGGGTCACTACTTCCTTTCGACGGATCAGCGAGACTTTCCTCGATATCATGTGATTTTCCTCCGATGTAGACGAGCGGCTTGTCGTTCTCGAGCTCAGAAGCATTGGAGGCCGCAGGCCGCCTGGAACGTTACCGAATCAACGGAGCAATATTGGGACATTACAATATAATAGTTTCTTCTGGAAGACAACACAGACAGCTCACGGGCGCGCATGGATCGCGGCCATCGCCACGCACAGGAAACAATACGAAAGCAAAACTTCGGCGACTGAGGACGGAGCCACCGATTTCACCAGGCAACGATGCCATCGGCGGAATGACTTCGATCAAGGAAGGAAGTGCGTTCTGTTCTCTAAACTCATTGAAGGAGAGTGATTGAGCTGCTCAACCCCCTTCAGTGACACGTAATGACAGGATTCATCGCACGAAAATGTCGATGTCTTGGGAAAGTCGCCCATGAGAGGTCGCTCCTCGCCGCGATGTTCTATCTCTGGCAACATTCCACGTCATTACGCGTTCCGACGACGCTCGCTCAGCTCTCGACGCTGAACGAGAGCTGTCCGAAACGATTATACACACAGACAGATTCATGTCTAGAACTCGCGATGTAGTTATTTGCTATCAATCATCGAGCATTGACGCCGACGGAAGTAGAGCCAATAGCCAAGCCTCATCGAACGAGACGCGCGAAGAGACTCGTGGGTGCGAAAACTCTGCAAAAAACCATAAAGGATGCTGTGGCCTCCAGAAGTGATGCACCGAATCATCCCGAGGCCAGGACCCTTGTTTCGCTCGATTTCGTGACGACTATTGCTCCGAAGAGAACACCGATAATTTCGACGTCCTCCCCGAATCGAATGATATTGACTCTTCCCGCGGTTCTGTACGTGATCGCGTCCAGGGGACTCGCCTACTAAAGATGGAAGCGGTAGATTACAGAGGGAACGGCTCCCCAAGTAGCGTTGACTACCGATCGACGGGACCCTGACCATATTCAATCTCCCCGAAATTATTTTTCAAGATCAAATCGCAGCCGTCTTATGTGGAGCCACAATTCGGTGACTCGGTCGCTATCCGGAGCGCATGTTTTCGAATGCGGGTGCCATGTATATGCCGAGGCGATAGCATCATCGACGTCGCGTCGCTGGGAAGTGTTCCACGCGGCATTGCTGCCACTCGAAATGGATGGGCACGCAGCGGAGCTCCATTCGGTCTGTTCGGAGTTCGGAGCCCCGAGCCAGACGGAGGAACGCAAGGTGCAAGTCGGTTATGAGCCTCGTCCACGGAAGTTGACAGACAGTCCGAATCGCCGTTTTCCCTCTGCGGATCCAAGGTGGCAAGTGATCGAGCTCATCGTCTCTTTCTCATCTAAGCATTTTAGCGTGCGCCATCATCCGATCGAAGAGTCGCAGTCGGGAGCTTTGATCACGGTCGTCCTTTATTCTTGAAAGGTACGGTGAGTGTCGAGAGAGCTGAACAAAATTTTCGGCTACACGAATGGGTAACAGTAGACTGGCCGGAAGAACGACCGCGAAGATCAATTGAATTTGAATGATTCGAAGTTTGTTAGAGGCAACTTCTGGGAAGTCCAGGTTTTTTCCCGTCTTCAAGGGGTCATCTTCTCTGACAGATGCGGCGACTTGCCCCTTTTGTCTGATTTCTGGACCCGCTCAGGGAACGGCTCTTGTCATGGTCTTGTCTCGTGGACACAAGAAAAGGATCGAAAGCAGAATCCACAGCGAAGAGGCGACGGAGAAGAGTCACGGTAGATCCGAGACGAATTCGTCGGTTTGCTGCGTCGACCACACGGTCTGGCAAAAATCTATGTGTTTGCGCGCGCACTTGTTCGTCTGCGCTTTCGATTTCATTCGGCTGGCTCTTGGGCGGCAAGCCATCCCATTATACTCCCAGATGTCCTTAGCCAATTGTTCGTCGTCAGATCGGTTGGGTGGTTGTCAAAACAATCTGAAAGGCGTCACAGCCTTGCGTGAACATAGTGAGCAAGAATCCAGGAGATAAAAACTGCGAGAAGGAATTTCTGCACTTGAGAGACGATTTCTGCGCTTTGCGCCTTGGCTTTGCGGTCGACTGCCGTCCGATGAAGTATGCGACCGCGTTCGAAACACCTTTGGGAGGAAGAAAATTCAATGAGTTGAAGGCTATCGACCGAAGGAATCGCTTGACTATTTGACGACTGTCAGCGTGGATTCGACATCATCCGACGACACGCTGACGTCGCCACCACCGCTTACGTCGCGTGGTCTCCTCAACGAAAAACGCATGCTGTCAACACGGAAGCGTGGCGACTGACTCCGTCGGCGATTTGTGGATATTTCCCTGGCTGCACGAAAAATGCAAAACGATAAAGCAGACATCTGCTGACGCTCAATCGAGTTTTGGCTCCACTCCGATCTATTGTACTCTAGACATGGAATGGTCGATACGCGGCCCAACTTCTGTCCGGCTTCGGGGACGGGACCGGATATTAGGAGAGACAGAAAATCGTTTCCCGGAGCGGTCGGAGCATCTCGATCTCGCGACTTATTTTCTTCTTCGCTTCTTTATCGCCCGCGATCGAAAGCACAAGATTCTTCGGCATAGTACATACATAGTACATACATTCCAAAGATCGGTCGATACAAGAGCAGAGCGGAGCACAAAGAACTTTCCTTGAAAGTAAATAAATATCCTGAAATCTTCGCTGCGGCGCGGCTCAGAGTTTTATCTGACTCCTGACGGTTGTCGACAGAAGTCACACGTCCGAAAGGCTCGGAAAATTCGAGCCAAAAATATCCGCGTCGAATTATTGATTGGCCTCATGTACAGGAACTTAGCGTGTCGGTTCCGATGAAGCACCCCGAGTAACGAGTTGTTACGTGAACTAATGTCAATAAGCGAGGAGAGGGATAGGCACTCAATTCTTGAGGGACCTCGCGAGTTTCCAACAGAAGTTCATGTACCTCGGAAGCTGAGACGCAGTAAATTAGAAACGACTTTCGGGCATGAAGAAATTCTTCCTCAACATGGACCCGATCACTCCACGCAACCGAAACACTCGACTACGTCATTGCGACCCTCAAGGTCGTCGAAGGTCAAGTCGAATACGAAGCGACCGAAGAAGAAGAAGAAAGCGAACAGAAACAGAAGATGAATTTTGTTGACTGCCAAAATAGCGAGAGAGATTTTGACGGGCATCCGTATGTTCGTTCGTCTGTGTGTCGGTGGCGTGTCGGATGCTCCGTCGTAATATTTGCCGGAGGAGCATTCGGCGGCTATCAGAAAACGCTCAACGAGGAAGTCGTGTCTCCGGCCGGGCCGAGGAATATGGCGAGTGTCGAAATTCCGATTTCGGCGCCAAATCACCTCTCGCGGGGGACGCTATGACTCGTGGTGGCCATTAAACGTTTGAGGAGTTACGGCTAAGAGAGTGACGATCAGAAATATCTGTCTGGGGGGAATGTTCCGATGCCCATCGACACGTCGAGCCCATGACGCAACCTATGGCCTCTCCGTGTTGGCGCAAACCGTACCGAACACTTACGTCGCGTCTTCCACGCGAGCGGATGCTTATCACAATTATTCGTGGAGCGTGGAACAATTAATTCTGCGAATGTATCTAACTGAGGATCGACGCCCCTCTGGATGGAGCCTCACCGAGAGCCAAGTCATTGTTTGCTGACTTTCTGGTTCTGGCGAACTTTGCGGTGATGATCGACACACGACGCCCGGACACTGAACGGAAATCCACGCCAGCATCCCACCGAGGCTCCGCGCAGCGATGCGGGGTTTCCAGTCCCCGCAAGAGAACAATTCAGCTTGAAGATCGCTCTCACTCACTCTGTCACTCTTTTTCACCGTAGAGGTTCGAGGGAACTTGCAGAGCGATACCGTGCGCGGTCGAAGAACCCCATGTTCCCCCGACGATATCGGTGGGGCTTTCGCTTTCACGAATCCATGTCCTGTCTTCGGCGGGCAACGCTGCTTCAGAAGAGTCTTGACAGACAGTTGGCCAGCCAGCCGGCCGGACGGGCTCGGGCAGGCGACCGCCCAGAATTCTAATGGCTTCAGTCGCTTG